TTTGCTCTGATATTAGCAGGGTCCAAGAAGCAGCCTCCGCAGGCTCCGCAGCCCGGAGCCAGGGCGGTTCCGGGACGGCTCCGGGAGCCGGGACTCGGCCGCCCCGCGCTCCGTGTTCACTCCGATAAGATCAGATTTTAAGAAGCCCCCAGGCGCTGAACCCTAGCAATCTGTCTGCAAGCCGCAGGCGAATTGCAGCCTGAAATTACCTGTTCTATGGCTGAATGAGCTGCGGTCAGTCAAAAACAGGTGTGGTGACGTCAGTTTACCAACATGGTGGCTGCTGGCCTCCTCTGTGGTCTGACCGGTGTGGAGAACCGAGATGGACCGCTTCCTTCCCCGTCTCGAACCCAGAATTCAGCCCTGAGTGCGGTGCTTGCGCGTCTGGCAGAAACTGCAGCGCTGTAACCCTGCGTCTCTATCCCAGCGCGCCTTGCAGACTCCAGCCGCGGGGCGATTCGCTGAATAAGCAGTTTTACCCTCCGTGCGACAAACCTCTCGCGTTTGAGTCCCCGTAGCCGATCCTCATGTGATGGAAATCCTTCCTCCAGGTTCCGGCGCACCCCACTATTGCTGGAAATTCCCAACAAGATATCCTTCAGCCGTCCTGACTTGTCACACTCCCACACAGTGAAGCAGCACACGGGGGTAATGCACTCCCCTCGCCGCCATCTTCAAAACTCCATCCTAGTCTTACATTCTTGAATGAGTCACAGCTGAGATGTTTTGGAATGAAGGGGCAAGAGTCTTATTACATCCCGGACGTTGTGCCTAGGCACTCCCTAGATTAAATTATTGCCTAATTTGATCTGTCATACTTGCTCAGAATTCACCAGTGACTTTTGATTATTGCTCTGAGGATAAAAACCAAAGTTCGGAGTGGCTTTCACAGCCTCCATTCACTGTCTCCAGTGTTTTTTACCTCCTTAATTCCTGTTCATCTATAAACTGTCACTTTACCTTGCTGGGAAAGCCTTCATGATCCCATCTTTCCCACAACAATCAGGGTTTCAAAATCTTAGCATGTGATCATACTGTGATTATGTGATTTCCCTTCTGCCCTCCGGAGAAGATGATAGATTTTTGTCTGTCCTGTGCCTACATAATAATGCCTGGCATTTAGTTGGATACTCAACAAACAACTAACAATAACAACAACAAAATTTTGGTTGCAGGAATAAATCATTGAGAAAACTAACAGGAATATATCACTGTTTTGTCTTCAGATGAAGAAATTGAAGTTCAGAGGTTAAATCACTTGTCCAAGGTTGCATAAACAATAAGGGCAAGGCCTAGAACCCAGGGATGTCTGCCAACAAACCCTCCTTCTTTCACTCACAGACACAGAGCACATGGAGACTTTTCATGTCTGTATCAAAAATGACGTGATCCTGCCTATCTGCTGGTTGGTTGACAGAATGAACAGTGTGGTGATTAAGAACACAGGCTCTGTAACCGGACAGCCTGGACTCCTGTACCTTTTTCACTATCTGCTGGCTTTGGTGCCTTGCACACACTGCTCAATTTATGAAAAATGGGATAATATTATCCGATTTAGAATTGATATGAGGACCAAAATATATGAATCTACATAAAACATTACTATCAAGCAAATAGAAACTGCTCGAAAATTGTTAGCTATTATGTATTATTAGTCTGTATTTATTCCTTTTTTTTTTTTTTTTTTTTTTGGTGGTGCTGGGTATCAAAACAAGGGCCTTGCACATGCTAGGCAAGCACTCTACCACTGAGCCATACCTCAAGCCCTGTGTTCCTTACAGTTTCCTTACTATAACCCAAAATTACATCCAGAGACCCTATACCAATTTTTAACATTTTGTTTTACTTTTTAAAAATTTTCTTTTTGCCTGAAGCCAACTGCCCTTAAGTTGTATTTTATCTGTGTTCGATTTAAAATCGGTAATTTCTGTGTCTCAGCAGAAGTTGTCTACCTCTAACAGCAATGTCAAGTACTATTAATACCCTTTGCTGTGAATTTCTAGGCTTTAGGGTTCACACTTTTCTTCACACGTCTGCTCAGTTAGCAAAAACTGCTATCGTGTAGTAAAAGATGCACTATTAATTGTGCTGTTCTCTTCCCACAAATTGAACACCTTTTCCCCCCAAACTAAGCAATATATAATTGAGCCATTTGATTAACTGACTTGATTGTTGGGAAGTGATTTGTTACTCTTATTTCCCCCATTCTTCAATAGATGAGAGCAGGTATGACTTGTAGGAAATTTAAAAAGGAAGAAAGGCAAGAAAATAATTACTTCAGATCTATAACAGTTGCATGCCAAAATTCTAACATTTTAAACATGTTCCCTCATCATGGAATTTTTTGTAAAAACCCTTCATTCCTTTCCTAGTTATTCATTGTTGAAATTCTTAATAGCTAGTTTCTTATGGTTAGGATGTAATCGTGTGTGTGTGTGTGTGTGTGTGTGATTTAACTGTTTACCTTGCTCTTAAAAGAAAATAGCATCTCATTTGTGTTTACATGACAAGAGAAATATCTACAGTGCAGTTTCCGCCCTGTGCCAGGCATTACTACATGTTTAGTTGATGTTGCTAATCTTTGTAAGAGAAATAATATGCCCATCCCGGAGAGGAGGAAATAGAGACTTTACAAGACTGAAAACTTCCCTAGGGAAGTTGGCATGCCTTAGCTCTGGAGGTGGAGGTGTTAATGAGATCTGGTGTACAGGGATAACTAGAAACAAGCCTGGCAAAGTAAGTTGGGTTATAAATGGAAGACCTCAAGAGTCAGGCTGAGGAATGGATAATTAGTTTTTCAGGTCCTGTGGAAGTAATGAAGTTTTTTGAACTGGGAGCATGAAACAGCAACCGTGCTCTGTTGACAGGGCAGTGATTCTAAAGTGTGGTCTCCAGACCCAGCAGCATCAGAAACACCTGGAAACTGAATAGTAATGTGTATTTACGTGGCTTCTCCCACCTGTTCAATCCTAGACACTCCGCTTGTTGGTGGTTTAAGAAGCACTCCTGGTGATTCGGTTTGAGAATTCTAGCAGTGCTGAGTAAAGATTGGAAAGGCAAGGAGGAGCAGTGGGAGGCCGAGCCAGAAGCCAAGGGAGAGGTTATTAGGGCATAAGTAAGTTCGGGTGACTTCACTGGGAATGAAACAGAGGGAAATAATAAGATTTTTCAAGGAAGATGTAATAGGACTTGATGACTAAATGGTGGTAGGAGTATAAGATATGAAGCCAATATTCTGTGTCTGCATGTCCACACTGTGGGAGAGCTGCAGATAAACACAGAAGCCTCTTGGGGTGGGAACTTGTTCATACTCCTCAGGAATTGAGACCTTACTGTGCCTTAATTCATAGCTTTTAAGTTTTACCCACACCCACCAATTTATTACGCTTGACTAGATAACTTTCCCTATCAGAATGAAAAAGTACCAGCTGCTCAACATTGACTGTAGACTGAGCTCTTAGGAATTGCTAAGAACTTTTCTCTGCCTGGTTTATATTCGTTATCCTATTGTATTTCATTAGCTATGAATATCAGTAAATTGCCCTCCTTTACTATCCAGTCTAAGCTACACTCTACTATAGTTAATGTTTCGAAACTCTGAACTGAGGAGCTAAGAGTCTAGACTCTGCAGTTAGACAGCTTGAAACCCAGCACCATCATTTACCAGGTATGTAGTCTTAAGCCAGTGACTTAATCTTCAGCCTTAATTTTACCCAGCTCTTTTACAATGGGATTATTATCACAGTGTGGATGTATAATAGAGAGTGGACCTCTTAGGGCCATTGTGAGAACTAAATGAGAAAATGTCCCACATGAAATGCTTAGGGAATGTTCATTGTGGTTTATGGTGATGACAATGTCACACTCTTCCCCAAAACGTCATTGGCTCATCTTGTTCAAGAGAATGAACTCTGTATTCCAGCACGTTAACCACTGAGCCACATTCCCCAATCCCTTTTTATATTTTATTTAGAGACAGGGTCTTACTGAGTTGCTTAGGGCCTCACTAAATTGCTGAGGCTGCCTGTGAACTCGCAGTCCTCCTGCTTCAGCCTACAGAGTCGCTGGGATTACAGTATGCACCAACATGCCTAGCTTATCTGATGGTCCTTTGCGTAACCCAGTGCTTCAACTAATCTGCCCATGGTGCCTCTAATGTACCAAGTTTGTTACAACAGCGAGGCCTTTTTCCTATGGCTTTGTTAGTATTTTGTCACTGTAACAAAAATACCTGAGAGTATTAACTTATAAAAAGAAAAGGTTCATTTTGGCTCACAGGTTTTGAGGCTACAGTTCATGATCTACTGGCTCCATTGTTTTGGGCCTGTGACAAGACAGCACTTTATTGCAGGAATGTGTGGCTGAGAAGAATCACTCACCTCAGGGCCAGGAAGCAAAAGAGAACAAGAGGCAGAGACTGGATCCTATCATCGGTTGTGGGGACATACTCCCAGTGACCTAAGGGCCTCCCATTAGGTCCTCTCCCAAGGTTCCATCCCATCCCAATAACACCACCCTGGGGACCAAAGCTTTAGACATGGACCTTTGGGGGACATTTCACATTCATATTAGAGCAGATGCTCCCCCACATCATGTCTGGGCCCTCCAGGGCTCAGCCAGTCAGTGTTTGTAGTTGACCCCCAAAACCCCTGATTTATTAAGATTAATCCCAAACTCCCTCGCTTGATGGCCTTCACTGCTCAGTGGACCCTACAGAGCTACTGGCATTAGCTCATGATGATTCTGCCAAAGTGGGGCCCACTTCTCTTCAGTACTTCTGAGGTTGTGCTTCGTCCATCCTGTTGTGCACAAAGCCTGGCCCCAGACCAGGACGTGCTCTCTTAACAGTAGTGACACACACCTTGATAACAGCTTTGATCTTTTCCAGACTCATTTAAATATGTGTTCGTGTTTTCTTCCTCTCTCCAATGATATTGATAGTGTTCCCTACAGGAGTAACATTTAATCTATGACATACTAATTATTTTCTTTCTTCTTAGGATGAACTTGACCTCACAGACAAACACAGGGAAGCCATGTTTGCACTTCCAGCTGAGAAAAAGTGGCAAATATACTGTAGCAAGAAAAAGGTAAGGTATTCATTGTGATTCTCATTTTTGATTCCCTTCGCTCTCCCATTTGCCCACCTGAACTCAGCCCTTTGTAATGTGAATGTGTGGTTAACGTGTCATGTTGTGGCCTTGGTGCCATATGTGGCCACGTGCCAACTCCTTGGATGTTGTTTTTGTCAACACTGTATTGTGCTCCCTGACACCTGTAACCATTGTGCTCCCTGACACCATAATTGTGTTTGACTGCTACCCCAAATAACACTGGCTTATAGGAGAAACAAGCGTCCCCCTGCTCTTTCCACAATAGTTTGTTCAGGTAGATCAGGGTGAGCTTCGTGGGTCCACAGCCCTCTGTGACCACCTTCTAGCAACTTTACATTTCACCATCTCTAAGGTGCAGCTTGACGTGGCTCCCCAGTCATTTCACATCCAAACCAAGAGTACAGAAAAGAGACAGAGAGGGCATAAATTCCCCCATGCCCTCTTTTAGAAACATGTTTTAGGAGTTATATACCTTCTATCCCCTTACATATCTGTATCTCACTGCAAACAAACAAAGTCTTTATTCTGGGCAGTCACTTCCCACTTAAAAGCTGGGCTTCTGTTACCCCAGGCGATGGGAGAATGGAGCTGGGAGCAGTGAAAATACTCTTATTCCCTAGGACTCAGAGAACTAGGCATCACTCCACACACTGCATCTCTTGAAATAAAGTTCCTCTGCCATCTCCTCAACCCTGTGGCAGATTCTTAGACTGTCCCCATGTCCATTTTTTTGGACTGATTCGAAGGTTCATGGCCTCGTTTTACCACTTTTTTCTTTCTTCCAACACAGTCTTGAACCAAGATGGGTAAGTGGGAAGGGCAGAACTAGCACCTAAAAGAAATGCTGTCTCCAACAGGCAGGGAGCACTCAGATCATTCAGTCTTGACCTAGAAAAGAGCATCAAAGGATAACAGTCCAATATCTTTTTGAGACAACAGAGTGAGCCAGGGAAACTGTCTCTTAGATAACTAGCATGCAGTTAGGGACCTCCAGTTGCCCACATGGCTGTCTCCCAGCACCTTTGCCCCCTTTGCTGCCTTGTGTCACGTGTGTGCCACCGTCCCAGGGGCGGCTCCCAGGACTCAGTAAGGGCTTTCTCTAGCACTGAACTTGCGCACTTGTTCCTCCACCCGACTCCAGGCCACAGGTTGTAAGGCACCTTGTCTTTCTCATCTGTAACTTCAGCATCTGGGCCTTTGAAATGAATTCACAAAAACTGGCTCACTGAATTGTGTTGTGTAAATAAAAATACTGAATACTGTTAATAAAAAAATGAAAGCATGTTTCATTTCCTCTCTGAGCAGTGTAATTGGTCAAACTATGCATCACATTTGGTTCTGATGATCTTTGCCAGGAAATATGTCCAGCTGTAGCTTCTCAGTATGATTGCTGAGCTGCTGTCACATCAGCCCAAATCAAAGTCTTCAGGGTCCTGATCCAGTAGTAACCTGTAAGACATCTTTGTCAATCAGTGCATCATTGTCCTCTCCTTTTCTTCTCTCTTTAGACTTATAGCCAACTGGAAAACTTCCCTTTTGTTGAATGGATTGTCATGCGTAACATATAGATAAAGATTATATGATGTACATTTTATATGCATATATGCAAAATACACATATATGATATATACCACAAATATTATATATGTATAATATATATTATGTTGTGCATATATTATATATACATCATACATATATAATATATATGTGATATATGTGTACATATGTATGATAAGTATATATATATGTATGTGTGTGTGTATATATATATTGCACATATATTATACAGGGAAGGAAGGAGGTTTGTTTGTTTTCGAGCCAGGGGTCCCCTAAGTTATCTAGGCGGGCCTTGAAATTTCGAATCGTCCTGCCTCAGCTTCCTGAGTAGCTAGATTTCAGACATGCACTACCATGTCCCTCTTGATAAGGAATTGTAAAATGAAAATAAAATGTGTTCAGCTCTCACACTGAGAGTATTGTGTGGTCTTTGGGAGCAAGCGTTCTTTTCACTCTGCCACCTTAAAGGCCTGTCACTAGGACTGAGAAAGAAAATCCTTCTGTGCCTCTGTACACAGAGGGCATTGTCTGTTTGGTTTCTCTAGTGCAGATTCTTTTCCACAGGATGAGCAAACAATACAAGTAGCAACTGAGAATATGCACTGGCTAAAAGGAAAGGGCAAGAAAATGGGAGCAGCTTACTGAGGTGAAAGTTTTCTTCTTTCCCAGATTTTATGACACCCTTGACAGCAATTGAAAGTTAATCATGGAAACTGCTGCCCCTTACATTAGTGAAGGCAAGCCCTGGAGGATAGTAATGACCTCGGGCTCACAGCTGCTGCTCGTTTTTCAATTTTCAGGTCTATCAGAGCCCCTTGCAAGCTTCATCTCAAGTGTGCATGATGGGGTTGGCTGTTTGCAGGAGGATGGAGATGGATGTGGACTCTGGCCTCAGAATCCTGTTTCTGATGCCTGCATCTGTACCTGTTTGGCTCGCACAGATCTTGGGGGATGCCCTTGTGCTAGCTTCACTCCAGCACCTTAGGTTCCTGGTGTGGCTTGGTAAGGGCATGGCTGAGTGGGAAACCATTATAACTCCTCAGGAAATCCCATGGTCTTATAGATCTGTCTCACTTTAAAATGAATGATAGCATGGCTTGACTAAAGATTCTCATGGTTAGAACTCCTCATGCTATTTAAACAATACTAAGCCTGTGGTCCAAAACTGAACTATTAGACACTGTGATAAATAAATACATCATGAATACAAGGACACAAATATTTCACTAGGAACAGTATATGATGTTTGCCTCTTCAGATAATAGGTGTCCAGAGAGATAGATTGTCCATTCTCAGAAGGAAGCACCATTGTGTCCATCTTCGATAGTAAGAAGAGATTCTTTTCCTTGGAACATCTCTTGTATAGCTTTTTCAGGTCAGGCCTATTACCAGCAGGCCATACTTCATTCATTTTTTCAGGCTGAGGGAAGCTACACTCATGGCTTCTTTAGATTTTCTGTCTTTTGTGATTAGAACCCAGGGCATTCCAGACATTCTCCCACAGAGTGAAGCCATAGAGCAGGGATCACTGAAGCCAACATACGGGCCACAGGAGCTGGTGGAAAGCAGGCTCTCTGTGTGAGTGAACAGAAGTCCTGGAAGCAGACAAGACTGAGACCTGAGCACAGGGCCAGCCTTCTGTCAGCCGACGGCCTCTTTTCCATCAAACGGTGACTGGAGTCCCAGGAGTGGCTCTCTGCTTATCAACTCTGTGTTCGTTTATGAAACTTCTCTGGTTGGAAACTAATTTCCAGAGCCAAAATGAAAGCAGCAAAAGTATTTCTGGAGCTAAAATGATTGGAAAGAAATTAATTGGAATTTTGCCTAATTGAGTAATCTGGGGGAGAGTCAAAGATGGATGTTGTGGCCTTCTTGAAAGTCCAAACAAATCTCCAACAGTTACTGGACTGGTCTGTCGGTCCTGGTTTGTCATAGACAGCAATCCATTGTCAAATTTTTAAACTCTCATGAAAGGTCCCAAAAGGTCCTGTTAGTGGGATGGGGCGTGTTTTCAAATAGGAAATGTTTGTGGTTCTTATCTTTAAAGGTAATTCCCTTTTTAGTTCCAATCACAACATACTCTTTTGTTTAAATGAGGTTTTTCCCAGTCTGAAGCCAGAAACTGCATCTGTTAACAATCTTTTGGATTTTAAACTGAAGCTTTTTAAACAATGAGCCATCTGACCACGAAAGGCATCTGGCTATGCTTTATTTGCTTATTGTTAACATGATTTTTAAATCCTGGGAAAAGTAAGGAGTAGGTCTTCAGAGAGGTGAAAATAAACTGGTGTACACACTGTATTGTGCTGACAGCACTCTTATCGGCACAAGAAGGAATCTTCTTTCATTGCTGTTCTTCTCAGGATCAAGTGTACTAGTTGTGTCATTTAACCAGTCCCTAAAAGTATCCAGAAAATGCTTTTTACCCCTTCTCAGGCCTCAGAGTTTGCAAGGAAATAAATTGGAATTCAGACACCTAGCTTAACCACATCAGATTCTTGAGGCCAAGATCACGACTGGGAAGCGTTGCCTAATTTTCCTCCACTATTTCTGGCTCTAAAGCCAAGGCTTAAGTAAACAGTATTAGCTTCTTTATACTACATTTCTGTGTTTGGAGGACCACTTTGGTGAAGGTGAATTTCCACTCTCTTGCTGAGTATATGTTTGATTCTAGCTTAATTAAACCATTCAAGATTCTTGCCTATCCTGGCTGCCATTGAGCCGTGGGTTTTCTGCAAACTGCTGAAATAGTGCTAGGTACATTCTGAAAACATTTAGGGAAAATGGCTTTGGTTGTGTATCCTAAAGGGAAAACACTCCTCCCCATAGAAACAAGTTCTCCTTTCACAACAGGCACAAAAGCATGAAAGTTGTCATGAGTGCGGGCAAGCAGGATGCAGTTCTTTCAGTTCCTCAGGAGTTCCTCAGGGGCACCTACTTAGAGTACAGGGAGCAAGTTTGTTTTTTTGTTTTTTTTTTATCAAAACATGATTTAAAGGAATATATGCATAAGTAGTGGAATTAAAGACAAAAGGAATCATCATTTTTCTACATGACAATCAAATCAGCTGAAAAACAAGGAGGTGAAATGAGATATTAGTCCTCTGGTTGTTCCTAGTCCCTATTGAGAAGCTGCCATGGGTGGACTAGGAAAAGAAGCAATGGCTTTGCCCTTTTTTTTGGGGGGGGGGGCGGGTAGGTAGAGCTGAAGATCAGACCCAGGGCCCTGTGCAGCTAAGCAAGCACTGTGCCACTGAGCTATACCCCCAGCCCTATTTCTAGACTTCTCTAGAAGCCCTATTTCTAGACTTCTATTTCTTGTGTTCTGCCATGAAGTTTCAACCTATTAATGGATTCCAATTGGCATTTGAGAGATAAAGGCTTAAAGAAAGCTACAGAAGCAGTCATGATTAGAAATG